AAACCTACTCTTAGGTATTTTAAAGTAGGTTTATTACTAAATAAAATTTAAGTTTAAAACAGGTGTAGAACATTTACGAAGAAACCTTGTCTCCAAAGTGCTCTGTATTCAGTCCCCTGCTGGCTCCCTCTCCAGTGCCACCCAGCTGGCCAGCCTTCCGCAGAGCGGCCTCGAGCGGCCACTCCTCCCCTCCCCCACAGCTCACAGGTCAACTTTCCATGCAGTGTACCGACTTCTGTCTTGATGCCTGTGACACCTCACAGATGAAGATGTCGTGAGGACGGCGAGTCCTCATCCTCAGTACCTCGCAGTCCAGCACGGGGTCTGGCTCAGAAAAAAAAAAAACAACCATACCCATTGCCGTAGAGTCAATTCCGACTCATAGCAACCAGTAGGCATTGAAAAAATGTTTGTTGAAACAAAAGAATATATATATATATAAATTTATAATATTGTTGTTAGTTGTCATTGAGTTGATTCCCACTCGTCGTGACCCCATGCGTGCAGGGTAGAACTGCGCCCCATAGGGTTTTCAAGGATGTGACCTTTTAGAAGCAGATCCCCAGGCCTGGCTTCCAAGATGCCTCTGGGTGGATTCAAACTGTCAACCTTTTGGCTAGTAGTCAAGTGCTTAACCGTTTGTGCCATGCAGGGACTCCATAATATTATACATACCTGTATTTTTTTATTGTGGTAAATATATAGGTAACAAAACATTTGCCATTTGAACAATCTTCACATGTACAGTTCAGTGACATAATTATGTTCATTGTTCAACCATCACCTTCATCCGTTCCCAAATTTTTCCTTCTTTTTTAAAGCATGTCTGATCCTTGGATGTTTTTCTCCCCTCTGGATCAGGGTCCCATTAGGGGGAAAAGGGAGAGGGTGGGGATTAGCCTCACCTCCACAAACAATTCAGGGCAGCAAATACTTTGTTTTTCTTTTTAAATCCCCAAGGTATCTCCCACATGCTAATCAAACGTACTTATGAAAAAGCACCTTCCGTTTACCAAGGGTGTGCTTCGCCACCACCGAGAATACCAGCTTTATGGGGACATGTTAGTATTGCATGTGAGACCATTAGAGACCACCACCAGATAATACATCATCAAGTGCCCAAAATGCCCACCAAAAGAAAAATGCTCACTACTATGGTCGTATTAAAAATCACACTGGAACAACTTTTTAAAATTCCCTCTCAACATATTCTTATTTCTAAGGAATTTTAAGGGCCTCTAAAACTCTCAAGCCAAGTGATTACGGTGAGGTGGAAAGAACTGAACTGATAATTAGGACGTGTCTATTCTAACTTTGGCTCTTCTATTTGTATGATCTTGAGCAAGTCTGTTCCTCTCTCTGGTCTATAAAATTAGGGATTGACCTTGATGATCTCTAAGGTCCCTTCTGACTCCCAATAGTCTGAGATTCATAAAGTCTGGGAGTCTGACTCCCTGACATTCTGCTTGAAGTTCATGAGTGCTCTGTCTTTGTCTTTGATATGATAGAGCGGAGGGCCAAGGAGTGGGGCTGGTTGGTGAGATGACTTCTCTGTGTCTTGCCCTGGTCCCACCGCTCCTAGAAGAAGGCTGAGTATCCACTTTTTGTTATTCCCAGGTGAGACTGATGGTCATAGATGGCCAAAAAACAAAAAACAAAAAAACAAAAAACAAAACCCAAACCAGTTGCCATCCAGTTGATTCTGACTTATGGCAACCCCACGTGCGTAGACCTACTGAGTCTGTTGTCATATTAGACCTGTGGGTTCTTTGGTGAATAGCCCATGATTTGTCAAGGAGGATTGCGATGGGAAGGTGCTCGTAAAATGTTTCCATCCTGCGACTCCCTTCCTTCCCTCAGAGGACTTCAAGGTTCCCCGTCACCCTTCGCCTCAAATAGAGCCCTCTGTAGGCTCTACTACCCACCCACCCAGCCTGGCCCAGAGCTCAGAGCTCTTCTGATTGCTGGTATTGACTCTGGCCACCAGAGGGCACTCTAGCAAAGGGGAAACCAGCAGTTCGCTGGCGTTGGGGGAGCCTGGGTCCCATCTTTGCCAGAACATCTGGACTTGCTGAAGCCAGGCTGCACTTATCTATTCTCTACTTCAGTGGTTCTCAGCCAGGGTTGATTTTTGTCCCACAGGGGACATTTGACAATGTTTGGAGACATTTTTGGCTGTCACAACTGAGCGGAAGAGGGTGCTACTGGTATCTAGTGGGAAGAGGCCAGGGATGCTGCTAAACATCTTGGTATGCACGGGATAGCCCCCCACAACAAAGAATTATCCAGCCCAAAATGTCAATAGTGCCAAGGTTGAAAAACTCTACTTGAATCTGTTGCCTGGAATCCATAGTTCACCACCAGGAAGTTTAAACCCTCTGGGACCGAGCCTTCAGTCTCCTGGCAAACCTACTCCAAAGGGAGATTTCAGAATAATGACCTCAAAGAAGTTTTCTCTACCTGAAACGTGGGGTCCCAGTCACCAAAAACCACCACTGAAGAGGGGCTGGGCCAGGCAGAGGGCACATGCGGGTGCCTATTACAGACAGAACCCCCGTCCCTGGGGCTGGCCTCTCTGAACAGGGCCGCAGTCCTTGACGATGCAATCCAGTTCCTTGTTCTGGAGCAGACAACACTAGCTCTTTGTCTCCCCAGGCTGGACAGGGAGATGACAAAGCCCTGGGGGATGGGCCTGTGGAGCGAGGAGCAAGTGAAAATCGATTCTCACTGTAGCCCCTGGGATCTCCTGGGAGAGATACTCTGGGGTCCCCTTTTCTTGGCATCTGGGGCAGTAGAGGGAGGGAGGCTGAATAAAGAACACTCACAGAGCCTTTCTCCTGGCCTACATCCAACTTGGAAACATAGGGGCTGGGGTCCTTGTCAATCTCAACCTGTCTGTGGGTTGAGGGCCTAACCTTGCCCCACTCTGGGTCCCTCTTTCCCCATTCCAGTTGTGAGAACACTGCATCTGCCATGAAGAAGGGCTAAGAGGAGGCAGAAAGCAAAATGCTTGGGGATCCTCAGAGAGATGGGTGCATACACTTACTCCTTGGAGAGGGACAAGGACAAGCAGTGGGCAAAGGGACCCTCTGTGCCTTCTTAATTCTTCTTCCTCTTTTTCCTTAGCTCTTGATGCATAACATAGGGAAGAGGTGAAGACAGATCCTAAACTCGGGATTTGCAGCCTAGGGATTTGTTGTTAGTTGCCATCAAGCCGGTTCTGTCTCATGATATAGCTCAATCTCCTTGGCTCCCGGAACATCCCTATTTGTTGGCATTTCCTTGGTTGAGCAAAAGACCCTCCCTCTCAGTGTCCTCCCACTCCCCTAGCTACCCAATGCTTCCAGTCTGCTCACCTTGTCCTTCTAAGACCTGGGAGCAGACCTGATAATGCCCTCCTTCCTCAACCTCCACCCCTTCAAATTCTGCTCAGTCATCCTCCATGGGGATCTGAGTGTCATTCTGTAAAGACTCCCGCTCTGCTCTGAAGCTCTTCCCTGGAGGCTGGTTTCCCATCTCACCCTGGTTGCTCCTGTGTTACCTGTTCCTTCAGTCTTCCTGTCTGGGAGCTGATGGCAGGGGACGGGAGGAGACTAGCTGCCTTGATTTCCAGCCCTGCTCCAGCCCTCAGACCCTCCCCAAGTCCCCTGGCCCCTTTTCTGTGAGAATCTTGGGCAATGTCTAGCTCCAGCCCACAACAGAGGGCCCACTGGAGGCAAGTAGTCAGCAGAGAGGGCAGTTTGCCAAGGGCATTTTATTCAAGGCCTGCAGTGGAGTACTACAGAGAGAGGAGGCCAGTCTCTCCTTCCCCACCTGCCTGGGACTTAGGGAAATGGAGGTAGAAAGAAGTGCCTGCATGGGACAGGAGCTCCTGGGATCACAGGAATCAGAGGGATGACAAAGAAGCACATGGAGGGAAACCGGAGACTCTAGCCCAGATGAGACAGATGGGCCCGGAGCGGAAAGAGTGCCTGGAGTTGTCCTGGTAAATCAAGTCCTGGCCCCTCTTCAGCTTAGACCCTTAATTTCCCCCCGATGGGTTTGAGGTGAGCAGGTATGGGAGGTTTCAAATGATGCAAACCTTATTCTCCTCCTCCCCTTCCTGCCCACCCCCCAAAAAAATTGAGATTAAGAACATCTTTGTGAACCACAGCCTTGTCTGCCTGAGACCAGAAGAACTAGATGGTGCCCGGCTACCACTACTGACTGTTCAGGCCAGGGACACGATGAAAATGCCGGTTAGAACGGGAGAAAAATGTAGAACAAAACTCAAATTCATAAAAAAGACCAGACTTACTGGACTGAAAGAGACTAGAGGAACCTCTGAGACTATCGCCCTAAGATACCCTTTTAACCTGGAACTGAAGCCACTCCCGGAGGTCATATTTCAGCTAAATAATAGATTGGCCTGTAAAATAAACAATAACACCCATGAGGAATATGCGCTTTTAAACAATCAACTACAAGAGACCAAACAGTCAACGTTTAGCCCAAAGCAAAGATGAGAAGGCAAGGGGGGAGCAGGGAAACCGGGTGGATGGAAATGGAGCAGGTGGGGTGGAAACGGTGAGAGGGCTGACACATTGTGGGGACCGTGACCAATGTCATGGGAAAATTTGTGTGTGAATTGTTGAACACGAATCTAATTTGCTGTGTAAATTTTCACCTAAAACACAATAAAAACCAAAAAACCAAACCCATTGCTGTAGATGCAGACTCATAGCAACCCTATATATAAAACACTAAAAAAAAAAAAAAAAGAACACCTTCATCTGATTAGCAGTTTGGGGGGGGGGCACCCTGCTTCAGTTTTTCTTAGCCTCACATACACTCCTCCCCCACGTGGCCCCCACGTTGGGTCCAGCTCCACCGCTTCAAACCCTCCTGCAATGGAAGCCCGTGTTCCGCCAGGGGTGGGGCTGGAAAGTACAAGGCCAGAGGGAGGTGGGCAAGAAGAGAGATGGCGTTGGGGGACCCCTGCTTCACATCTCCCTTCCCAATTAAGGAGGATCCAAGGGCCACACTGCTTTGAAAGTCTCCAGATCGGGGGATGCTGGGCTTTCCTCCACAGTTTTGAGCCCGTGGGCCTCTGGGAAGAAGCCCTCCCGGGGATCGAGGCCCCCCTTTGTCCCCATCATGAGCTCAGGCTTTTCCCCCAGCCCCTCAGGCCTCAGGGACAGGAGCCAAAGCCTCTCGCCAGCCCCCTGTCCCAGCCCCTCCATCTGGGGGAGCCCTGGAAAATACCGAGCCCCTGGGGGGCAGCTGGGGCCTGGGAGCAAGGGGTCTGGCTTGGAGGACCCCAGGAGCTGCTGCTCTGTGGGGGGAGGGGGCAAGAAGGGCCGTGAGAGGCGGGTCCAGTTGGAGGGGAGAAGGGGCGGTAGGGGAGGGGCGAAGGAGACAAAACTGGGCAGCTGGTCTTGGAGGCTCGGGAAATGGCAGCAGGGGGCCAGCCGGCAGGCAGCTGGGGCAGATTCAATTCCTGGAGAAAGAGAGAGAGAGACGGGGTCAAAGGGAGTAGCCCCACCTCTCTGAGACGCCCCTTTCTCCTCCCATTACCCTTTCATTTCTTGCTTGAAGCTCTCTCTCCTTCTCCCGGTCCCCCCTCCTTTTTTTTCTTTTTGCCTTGCTTCAGGCCTCATAGTAAACGCCATTTTGAGAGGAAGCCCAGGTGAGAGCGCCTCCTTGTGCGCTCTCATCAGGTCCTCCTCATCTCCTCCAGGGCACTTAGGCAAGTTAGAATTCCGTGGTCATTTGTATAATTATTGAATGTCTGTGTCTCCAGCTTGGTGAGGGCAGGAATGGTGCCTATTTTATTCTCTCTCCCCTGGATCTTCAGCACCCAGCCTAGCTTGGTGCATAGGAGGTGCTCAGTAAAAATTTTCTGAATGAATGAAGATATGTTTGCCGTAAGTCAATGAATCCATCCTTCTCTCTGGAAGCCCTGCAGCAAAGGGCTGGAGTTTTAGCTGGGCAAACAACTGGTTGTATGGCCTTGGGCTTCTCATTTAAATTCTCAGACTTCAGTTTCTTCATGGGTAAAACCACCTCTCCTCCCTAATGGAGTCCCTGGGTGGTGCAAACGGTTAACGTGCTCAGCTGCTAACTGAAAGGTTGGAGATTTGAGTCCACCCAGAGGTGCTTCGGGAGAAAGTCCTGGTGATCTACTTCCGAAAAATCAGACACTGAAAGCCTGTGGAGCACAGTTCTACTCTGACACACATGAGGTCACCATGAGTAGGAATCGACTCAACGGCAACCGGTAAACCTAAGATCAAATGACAGTCAGTCCGAAGGAGCCTGCAGAGCTAAAGGCTGTGGACGTGAGGCCCCGGGTGGATATGGAATGACCTTAGCCTGCCTCTTCTCTGACTGGCTGACCCATAGCTCTCTTCCGTCAAGAGCCCTGCCTCCTCCCACTCCTTCCAAATACACCCTATTGTATTCTCATCCACCCCACCCCACCTCTGGGATTCTACCATAGGCCCTTGCAACTGGGGTCCCCCAGGATGGTTATACAGATCTTCATGCCATTTTCTATATTGGAAAAAGCCTAACCCCAGTTCCATACTTTCTCTTAGCAAGATCACATCATTGAACTAAAAAGCAAGCAAGTTGGCGTTCGGCAGGAAAATATCAGCCCAATGTGGTCACATCGATGGGGCTAAAGTTAATAAAAACTGGAAAAGCAAATTAGTTATTAATTCATACATCCAGTTGATTTGACAGGAAACACATTTCTGAGGTCGGATCTAGGAAGGGGGAAAATAGTAAAAATGATCCTCCGGGAGGAAAAGCGTGGAGACTACAAAGTGTACCCTCTCTTTGGGTCATTGTCCTTTCCCTTGAATTCTTAAGTGGGGTGGAGTCGGTGCTGTTTCCCCCCAAAGTGGGGGTCCCTGCGGGCAGGGGGGCTGTGTGCCTTCCTTCAGCCACAGGGCTCCTGAGGTCAGGGCTGTGTCTCCTCCGGGGAGTGCAGCCCAGTAGGTCTATGGAAGAGATATTGCCAAGAGTCCTACTTCTCTCCACCATTTCCCGACACCAGCCCTGCATCTCCCTGGCTCCGGCTTAATAGTCCCAGCGGCTCTTCTGCCTGGAAGCATCTTCCTTTCTTGGCACAAAATGTTCTGAGTGGGGGTGGAGGTGAGGTGCTGGCACAGCCTTCTGGAGTCTCATTTCAGAAGTGGGGCATGTGGCTACCACTAACCTCCCGGTAACCTATACCCCCTTAATGTCCCTCAGGGCTCCGGGCACAGGCAGGGCATGTATGTGCACCTGCAGAGAGCAGGGCGGTGCAGAGCAGCCCATTGGAAGCTGGGGCTGGGGAGGGAACACCTTTTATCCTTCTCATGGTTTCCCAAAGAGAGAAGGTCTGTGCCCAAGGCATTCCCAGAGCTGGGAGGGGGTGGGAGGGAGAACAGGGAGGACTGTTGAGGTGCTGTTTAGCTCCAGGCTGCCAGACTGGTGGCCGTGCAAGTTCCAGCAGGCCCTGGACCACCCCACGCACACCGCCTCAGTTGCACTTGCTGGGGCCCAGAGTCAGCACCTGCATTCTCCCCGAGGCTCTGGGCCAGAGCTGTCCTGGGGCTGAGATTGCCTGGTGTAGAGAATAGGTCTTGGGCCTCTACAGAAGAGCCTGGAGTTGGTCAAGAGTTTCTATGACAAAATCTGGTTTTACCTTTTCCCAGTTTCTGGCCTTGGAAGAACTGGCCTCAGCCTCCATTTTCACTCCCCTCTCCCTCGCCAACACCATGTGCTACCACATTGGCCTTGTCCCAGCTCTTCGTTTCTGTTCCTGGGCCTTTACACACACTGTTCTTTCTACTTGCCATGTTCTCCCCGCTCCCTTTGAGCTAAATTGATACCTGTGCACACTTTGGGTGTCAGCTCAAATGACACTTTGTCAAGGAAGCCTTCCCTGATATCCTTAGCATCCTGAATGTCTCCTCTAGAACAGTTAGCACAGTTATAATGACACATCTATTTGTTGGATCATTAATGTCTGCATCCCCCCTTCTTTTGCATACAAACTCTGTCAATGTAGTCTTGCTCACATTGGTGTCCCCAGCCCCTAAGACAGTGCCTGGCACATTAAGCAGGAGGTCATTAAATATCTGTTGAAAGACGAAATGGATGAGTGAGTGAATGAGTGAGTAAACTTTATCTTCCGGATCTCTCTTCGGTTGAACCCCCTTCTTCAACTGCGGAGCCCTTGCCTTGGTTCTGGCCTCCCTCATCTTCTGCCTAGATTATCTTCAAAAGCCTCCCAACGTCAATCTTATACCTCCTCCAACCCAAATTCTACACACAGCCAGAGTAGTCTTTATAAAATGAAAATCTAACATCTTTCTCTCTCCTGGATCCCTCCTGCCCAGAGGATAAAGTCCAATCCCTTAGCATGGCTTCTGAAACCTTTGGTGACTGGACACCTGTTTCCCGTGCCAGCCCCATCTCTCACCCTCTCTGCACATCCCACCCCATCACATAACCTCCTCTCTGACCATGGTGAGCAGTTCTTCAGATTGGCTATGCCTGCTTACAGCTTTTTGCTTTATAAATGCTATTCCCTCTGCCTGGGCATCTTTCTCCACCTTCTTCACCTACTCAGGTGTTGTCTCCTCTGGGAAGCCTTCTCTGTGCCCCTGGAAGCACCTGGCGCTTACCCAAATCATAGCTCCAGCCAGCGATTGCTCCCACTAGACTCTGAGCATCTTGGAGGCCATTTTTCATCTTTGAGCTGCCAAACCCGGTAAATGGCTTGTGCTCAATGAATGTGTGTTGAATGAATGACTTGTATTATCCCTTGTCCCAGGGCCCCTCACCCGTGGACTCAGCCAGAGAATCCTCCCTCTTCTGGTTAAGATTCCCTGGTCCCTCCCGCATCCTGAGCACTCACGGTGATCACTGCTGCTGCTTCCCTTCTTATCCCCAGAGGCCCCTGGTGGCCCTCGCTGGGTCCGCTGCCCTGCCAGCTGCTCCACCATGGCCTGGTGAGTGAACAGCATGCTGTGCAGGAGCTGAGGAGTGAGGAGACATAGATGTGGGGGTGGGACCGGCTCTCCCTTGCGTATATTCCCGCAGAACACACTGGTACAGTAGACTAGTTGTCAAAACAATGGGATGAGTAGTCTTACATAGGTTGTTAAATAACCACTGCCCAAGTGCTGCCTGCTGTCTCGGATGTCCTAGACCCTCCCCTGGGATCCCACCTCTTCCCTAGGATCCACCACTGAAGGAGTGATGCTCACACAGAAGGCATCGGTCATCCTTTCTCGTAGGTGGGTGCTGTACCATGCAGACTGATAACTACTTTGAATATCACCCTGTCCCTGGGCACTCAGGGACTTGGATGCAGAGGGAGAAGAACATTGGAGGGTCCCTGAGGCAGAGAGGAGGGCTGTCATCTCCTGGGCAGGTAGGGGCGAGGCCTGATGGAGCCCTGGGGATGGGCAGCCTTCATGCCTACCTCACTCTGCACGCCCATGGGCACCAGGGCTGGTCGGCACAGGGCAGGGGTCCCCAGCAGCAAGTGGGATGATGGTGGTGCCCGCACCTCCCACAGAGGGTAGTTGACTACGATGAGCTTGCTGAAGTTGAACTTGTAAGTGAACCTCTTGCCTTTGGTCTTGTGCAGGATCCTCTTATTGTAGTAATATCTGGAGAACACGAGGTTGAGAACAGAGAATTGGCCCAATGGGCAGGAGGGAGTCAGAGACCCAGCAAACACCACCTCCCCAGGCCAGCAAGGCTGACCTGAGCGTTCCTGGAGAACCAGGCATCTTTCCACACGCAAAGGCATTTCTCCAAGCATTGGAGGGGTGGGAGCTGGAGGGGATGGGCAGAAACCACAACCCCTTTCTTTGAACTCTGCCCTCTCTGGCCATGTTGGCCACCTCCTCTCACCTGAGGGCCCGGCTCAGCTTGTCATAATTCATCTGTGGCTTGCACTTCCTGCGGCCCCAGAGGCGGGCCACCTCGTCTGGGTCCTTGATGACAAACTCCCCGTACTCTCCCTGCTGCCAGGCAATGACATGGCGGAACTCCTCCTTCTGCAGCAGCTCAAGGATGAAGTGCCACAGCTGAATCTGCCGGGAGCCTGGGGACGACTCAGCTTTATAGGCCCAGTCAGGGAAGGCCAAGCCTGGGGTGGAGAGGGGAGTGTGAGGTGCCAGGCTGCTGCTCTGAGGTCCTACCTGCCTTGCCCTGGGGCCACCAGCCATCCCACCCACAGGATCATGGAGGGAGACATGGTAAAGGGGCTCACCGGAGATCCAGTAGTTGCCGGGGACAGCAGGGACACCGTCAGCCAAGCAGCTGCAGTGCATGGTCCACTCTGTGGCAGAGAGGGCTGGTCTGGGCCTTGGGACAAAATGGTAGCCACTTAAGACAAGAGAAAGGAGGTGTGGGGTTTGGGAGGGAGACAAAAGAGGAAGGAGGGAAGGAGGGAAAGAAGGAAGGAGTAAGAAGGCTGAGAGAAGGTCAGGAAAGAAAGAGAGGAGAGGGAAGGAATGAGTCAAGGGGAGAAAAGTCAGGAGAGAGGGGTCCGCGCCAGCCTCCTCTGGGGCCTCCTCACTGGCCAGAGGCTGACCCAGGACTAGGCTTGGGGCTGAGCCACTGATATAGATGGAGAAGAATGCAAAGGGTCCTGTATCCTGCCCCTGCAAGGGGATTTAGACAGAGAATGAGATCTCTTCTCAGGGCTTAACTGGATTGGAATTTCTCCCAAGAGAAGACAACAGAAAATGTAATTAATCCTGGCTCTTTGTAAACCGTGAGTGGAGAAGAGGTGGCATATACACATACATTCTCCTTTAAAGTACTTAGAACATTTTTACACTTGAGAAGAGCAGTGATTTTTGTGTGTTTTTTTCCCCAGTGGGTCCCTGAGTGCCTAGAAGACTGCCTGGCACATTAAAAAGCAAGCAAACCAACCAACCAAACCAGTGGCCATTGGGTTGACTCCAACTCATGGCAACTACACGTGTGTCAGAGTAGGGCTGTGCTCCATGGAGTTTTCAGTGGCTGATTTTTGGGAAGTAATCACCAGGGCTTTCTTCTAGGGTGCCTCTGGGTGGACTGGAACCTCCAGTCTTTTGGTTAGCATTTGAGAGTGTCAACTGTTGGCACCACCCAGGGACTCCGCCTGGCACATAGTAGGTGTTCAATAAATGGTTGTTGATAGAATAAATAAATGGCAATGAACTTATCAACAGTGTCGTTGTTTAATACCTGTCTTCCCCCTTATAATGTTAGCTCCATGAAGTCAGGAACTGCTGGGCCTTGTACTCATAGGTGCTTGCTAAGTATTTGTGGAGTTAATAAACTATGGGCAGGAAGGAAAGAATCTTAATGGTTTCCATTTAGGGGGTGGGGGGTTTGCAGAATGAGCCCCAGTGAGATAAGCAAAAGGAGGAGAAAAAACGTCTAAGCCCCAACGCCTTCCAGATGGATCTCAAGAAGGTGCACAAGGCTGGTTTCCACTGCTGCTAATGGAAGACGAAACAATACACAAGAGGACTGAGGAGGGATGGGAGAGGCTGCATGGGGATGGAGTGCCTGCTTCTGGGGACTGGGCCAGGCCTAGGAAATTTTCCTGTCTGGGACTGCGTGTAAACAGGGGAATGGTTTAGATGACTTGGCTCTGGGTTTCTATCTTTGATGAAGGGAGAACTGTTCTCAACTAGAACTTACTAGGCCACCAGGTTTGGAGGGCGTGTCTGGAGTAGCTTCCATACTTTACAGACGAAGCTCAGAGAGGGAAAGTGACTTGACCAAAGACCCACAGTGAGTTAGCCACAAAGTCCAGAGCCATACTTCCTGGCTCTTAATCCAAAGCACTTTCTCATAAACTGTGTTGCCTTAAGACTTTTAAAACACAATCTATGTCAATGCTTCTCAAACTAATGTGTATAAGAACCACTTGAGGATCTCCTTAAGATGCAGATTCTAATTCAGTAGGACTTGTTGGAAGGTGAGATTCTGCACTTCTAACGAGCTCTCTCAGGTGATGTTGATGCTGCTGGTCCGTGGACCCTACTGTGAGTAGCAAGGATCTATGAAATACAGTCAAAAGAGGCTATCGGTGTTGTGAAAGAAAGTCAAGGAATCCCAGACACCTCAGGCTGGAAGATCCTTCCCACTCTCCCCACCTAAGGTCATCTTGTTCCTTGCTCTCCCTTTCCCAGGGAACACTCAGGGCCAGGGAGGTCAAATGACTAGGTCAAATGACTTAGGCAGGAGCTTTGGGGGGTACCCAGTTTAGCCTGAGCCGTGAGCATCTCTGGAAATAGGTAAGCAGTGGGGTGAGCAGGTCCATGCCCACTCTGAGTCTGGATGAATAGGTTATCCCACCCATCCCTCTGTCTCTAAACTAACAGCTGACATTCTGGAATCTTCCTCTTGTCTTTCTTTTCTCCCCAGGAGCAGAAGTCCCTCATCTCTCCCATTCTCCTCTCCTGCCCTGCCCAGTGGGAAGTTCCTCCTGTATGTAACTTCAAGTGGATTGGGCTCTCTACTATCTAGCCTTAGCAAAGTGGGTTGGGAGATAGGATGTGCAGAGGTGAGAGATTCCAGGGATGAAGATTGTTTTCTGGAAGGAGCTGATGTAATTCCTTTGGCTTGCCCCAGTGCCTACTGGATCCAATGGTGTTTCCTAATATGAAGGATGTGAGACCTCAGGGTAGATTTAGGATCTGGCAAGAAGAGAACGATAATAACCATCACTTACCAGGCATGCAGTGTACCCTGCACTGTGCTAAGTAATTGACATACACTGGAACCTCTTAGGAAGTAGGTGTAGAAGAGGCGATGGAGGTTCAGAGAGATTGAGTAACCTCTCTAAGGTCACACAGCTCTAAAGTGAAAGAGTGGAAAGCAAGACTTTAAATCAAGATTTGTCATTTTTAGCCAGAGTTGCACGCTGCCATCCCTCTCCCTCCACTCCAAAAAAGAAAAACACCTAAAACCCCAAACTAAGTTGAGTGAACTCAAGTCCCCCAGTTTCCTGACAGCTGGCAGCCTCCTCTCCCTGCCTCTCCTGTGTTGATGAGTCTTTCTCGGACCTTCAGGTCTCAGAGGAGCTTGCCAGCTCTGCATGTGGAAATCCTCACTGCTAAGTCTTGCCAAATGTCTCCTTCAAATCCTCCGCTTTCCACATGAAGCCCCTGAGTTGACTCTGTGAAACCTTCAGAGAGGAGATTCAGGTTTATCTTCATGTCCAAGAATGGTTCCTGCCATCTAACCTTAATTCCTTGGGCTTAACTTTAATCCACACTCTGGGGGTGACACTCTCAGGGCTGGGGGAGGCACCCCCACCCTGCCCTCCCAGCTCCCTCCCTCTTACATGGTGACCTGCACCCCAAGCTTTAGCAGGCTTTGTACAGCCCCTACAGCCACAATGGTGGAATCCATGCACGCAGTGGCCTTAGAGCAGGATGAGTGTTGAGAACCATAAATCAAAAAGGATCATAACCCAATCTTGAATGATCAGAGTGATTTCCTTTAAGCGCCTTGTGTTTCCTGAAGGAAAGCGGGGTGATAGCAGCCAGCAAGCAATTATGATTGTCATTATCACCATCATTCCCATTACTAACAATATGATTAATCCCTTTGGCCAATATGAGTGCTTATTACAACGGAAGTAGGTTTTAGGTCATTACTTAATAAAAGCAATATAGATAAGGATGATAACAGTAGAGATTGAGCCTTGAGTTAGGGTTTGGCGCCAAAGAAAATGTCCAAAGCAGGTTTTACTTTTTAAAGATTCTAGTTAATATGACATGGCATTGGGCTTGATATACATATTTTTTTTTTCACGTGCTACTTCATTTAATCTTCACAATAACCCTTTGAGGTGAGTACTATTATCTCCATTTTGCAAGCCGAGGAAATTGAGGCTCAAAAGATTAAGAAGCTTGCATAAGATCCCCTGCCAAGTGGTGGAGCCGGATGGGAATAGGTCTGTCTGACTCCAGGCTCTGTGCTGTAATCAGTCAATCAGGGCAGGGAAGTTGAGGATGAAACTTTGGAGCAGAGAGAGGTGACGCTGGCGGGAGGGCCTCGGCGGGCGGCCGTGAAGGGGCAGCTCTAGTTTAAACCTAAACTGTGGGCTCTTTGCCAGAAGAAATGATCAGCGGAGGCCCCCCGAAGCCAGAGAACAGACAGACAGATGGGCAGAGAGGAATACGGAGAGGGTGAGATAAAGATAGGAACACAGGATAAAAAAAGTCAGAGAGCTGGAGACCCAAGGTTGCATCTATGCAAAGAGAAACTTGCATCAAAAATCACTTTGTTGTTGGGCCTTCTAAGCAGCTGAAGTGGATTGGGGCATAATCTGATTGATTCGACCAAACCAAGTCTTTTCAGTGACAGCTTGATTGATTCAGTGGGAAAACGGGACTGTTTAGAAATACACAGGCAGCCGAGAGAAAGAGAGGGAATCTGAGAGACAGAGAGAAAAATGGCAATGCAGAAATTGGAAGTTGCAGACAGAGGTGAGGTCCAGATTCTGGTCTGGGGACTGAGAAATCAGAGCTGGGAAATGGGCCCAGAGGGGCTGCAGTGGCAGAGAAGCCCCTCGGAGACACAGAGACAGCCGCCTCCTGGGGATATTTTATGCTTGTTAGCACTGAGCAAACTGCGCATCCCCCGCCCGTCCACCAAGTCCGCAATCTGATTAGAAGCCTCTGGTCTCTCCCCTTGATCTCAGCCCCAAGTGGAGCGTGGTTAGCCCTCCTTTAATGCTATTAGCTAAAGCTGCTTAGGTAGGAGAGCGAAGGGGCTGAAGGCCGGGAAGGGCAAAACTAACCACTTTTCCCTTTTGGAATTTGGGGGAGGGGCAGGGAGAGATGACCTTTCTTCACTGCCCCAAGCCTCCCTTCCCTTCAACCCTGAACACGGGACATGCTGGCAGAGACCCCAAATGGCATCTTCTTCGTCCTTCTGCCACTGGTCACAACCCAGAGATCCCCTGCCTCGGGCATAGAGGACCCCTTCTTGATGCCGGTGGGTGGGAATCCTGCCAGCTGAACCTCTTCTTCCTCCTGCAGCGTCAGCCCTTCCTTCCTTCCACGGCTGCCTCCCTGCCCGTGCCCCCAGCAGGGCCCAGCAGCAGCCCTTCTTCTCCTCTGCCTCCCCTTCTCCCTTCCGTGCCCTGAGCCACCTCTCCGGGCTCCCTCGGCCTGGTCTCAGATCTCTACTCACCCCTCCTCCCAGCTCCCATCCCTTGTCTCGGTGGTCCCAGGGGAACGTGGGATTTAAAAGGTTTGTGTAACTCTATGGAGCAGAAATCCAAACCCAGATGTCCCCCACCGCCCCCCCAGACCTGCCACGCTGGGCAGCTGAAGGTCGAGGGGAAAGTCATGCCCTCACACACACTCGATCTGTGGCCTAAAGGGACCCAAGGTCAGGGGATGAGGAAGACTGGGGTGTTAGGAGACCGGCTTCCAGCTCCACACCCAGCATCTGTCTGTCCGGCCCCTGCGAGTCTTGGTTTCACTCTGTCTGAGCTTTTTTTTTTTCAATCATTCGTTAGCTCATTTCCTCTCTCATTACTGTTTCTCTCCACTTCCCTCCCAGTCTAACTGTTCTTCCTTCTTTCGACTTTCCATCCGCCACCTTCTCCTGGCCTCACTAGTGCCACCCTTTACTGCACTTTCTTTTCTCTCCCCACGTCCCTTTTCTCTCTGTTTCTCTAGGTCTCTCCTTCTGTCTACAGACCACGCGGCCTCTCTCTGTCACCGTCTCTGTCTGGCCTCCCCTGCGCTGCCCGTCTCCCTACTCTAGAGGGTCGCCTCTGTCTCACAGCTTCCCCCCCAGCCCCATCTCTGCTTTGCAGTCTCTGTCACTCTCATCGACACTTCGTTTTCTTGCCTCTCCTTTCTTCCCCTGCCCCGGGTCTCTCATCCGTGCTTCAGCGCTGGAGAGTCAACACGGCCTCCCACCTCCCCACCCCCACTACTTCGTTCCCAAA